GAAATATTTTAGCAGCTTTCAGGAGGAGTAATGGATCGATATGTTTCATTGTGATATAAGTGTGTCCTTCCTAGAGGGTGATGTTCATGTGTCAACCTATCCAGTTCGCACTAATACTCTCTTGTTGTAGTGAAGCTGACACCTTTGAGAATCCCCCAAAAAATATCAAGCTAGAGTTATGACTTCGTAATGTGGATTTGCTCATGTTCATCAGCATCTCAGATCACATGCTGCTTTCGTGAATTGGCATATGTCTTCTGACATCGAGCCACTAGAAAATCCTGCTATCGCTGCAGCCACCATACTAATCTTTTTTATCTGATTAGATCTGCAATCTGCTCGTGAACTCCTAATGCTACCAATCCTCACCCATGGGCCCAAACTCTCACACCCCAACTTCGATCCTTATCCCCTCCTTCCCCCTATTTAAACATGAGTATATGTTTATCGTCACCATTAAGCACATCAATGCGAAGTATCTCCCTACCGCCACTCTCATTGTCATTATCGTACTCAACCTGCTCTTCGCCGTTGAGTTCGCCATGGAGAAGGACAGCCTATGGAAGATGACCAAGAAAGGCATAGTCATGTGCTTGGCATCCGTGACTAGAGCGTCGCCAACTCCACCATTGGACAAGTGCTGCGCGATGCATTCTAGAGTTGATTTGTCATGTCTGTGCAAGTATAAGGACTCACTAGTGTTGTCTCAAGTAGGTGTCAAACCTGAGCTCACCAAGTAACTCCCCGCCATATGCAAACTCAACTTGCTTGGAGAATGTAACTGAGCGTGACCTGTCTAACAAAGGCTTAAACGAATTTGTAGTGTTGAATGCTAGTAGTATTTTTCTAAGTGGTTACTTAATCTATCATCGAGTTAATGATATATCTACTTTCATTTTGATGAGTACGAACTATAATCTCTCCAGTTATGACCGCTATAATATTTATGTGCTTCATTTATTTGATGGGATGTATGTAGGATTTGTTTTGTTTAATTATAAATTCAGATTAGTAACTATAAGATATCTCCTTAAGAGGATTCGATCAAATCTTAACTCATCTAATAATTATATTATTACTGGGGTGAAAAAATAAAAAATTAATAAATAAAAAGTCAATCAGAAGGTCGATGAAAGATTTATATTTATATAAGAACTCTCCCAAAATTATCTTACAATCACCCAAAGTATCCTACTCTATATCTCTTCATCATTTATAATAATAAATCTTAATTTATTAAAGATTTTCTATTTTAATTTCTAATATTAATCCTAATCCTTATACCATCTACTTAGAACTTCTATAACATTTAAATAACTTAAGATTAGTTTATGCACATGAAATGAAATGACAAGAAATTGTGCGACATAAAAGACTTCATAAAAAATATATTTTTATTTTTTAGCATGAATAATAATCATATATTAAGAAAAATTTTGTTACAAGAAGTTATATAAAAAATATTTTCTAATATATGATTACCATTCATGCTAAAGAAATCATAATGTGATCATTTTCTTATATTGTTATGTATGTGATTCCATTAATCAACCTTCATTAACTGTTTTAGTTTATTTACTGTTATGCAACACTTAAGTTTATTATCCTAACTCTTTCCGATCATTAAATTTTTTTGAATCTCAACTTTTATGTTATCACTAAAAATACCTTCAAATTCTTAGGAATAATTTATATTTTAACTTCTTCTAATAATATATGGGACATAATTTAGCAACTAAAAATAGAATACATAAAAATATATCTCATTGTAGGCTCAAATTTAAGCTCGATGGTACTTTGTAGGGAAAGTAATAATGTAAGTATTACAATACTCACTCACTTAGAGACTACCACCTAGGCGATGATATGGGCGGAAGAACCCGTGCCCCTACCCTATGACCATTAACAAGAGCACGATCCTTTGACCTCTACTCACCTCGATCTCCGGGAGGACCGCACAAGCCAGTCGCATGATGCATTAATCCCTTGTGGTTATCTTGTGCGATTTTCCCAAAGATTAAGGTGGGTAGGGGCCGAAGGATCGTGCTCTTGTCGATGGTCATAGGGTAAGAGTGTGAGTTCTTTTGTCTATGTCATCGCCAAAGTGGTGGTCCTCGGCTAGGTGAGCCATTGTAATGCTTATATCATTAATTTCTCTATTATGTGTTGTCATCAACTTGAGCTTGAATTTGAGCCGAGATATATTCTTATGTATTTAATTTTTAGTTGCTAAACTATGTCCCATATACTATAAAAAGAAGATAAAACATAAATTATTCCCAAGAATTTGAAGGTATTTTTAGTAATAGCATAAAAGTTGGTATTCAAAAAAATATTTAATGATTGCATGGAGTGTGGATAATAAACTTAAGTGTTGCATAATACTAAATTAACAAAAATAGTTAATTAAGGTATATTAATGTAATCACATGCAATCATTTTCTTATATTAGATTGGGGATATTATGCATAAAGAGAATAATATCATTTTCTCATCAGTTGTCTTATATTAATGAGATTTTATTTTAAACCAGGAATAAATATCACATTATCAATAAATATTTTATCAGATATAGTATTCATAGTAAGTTTTTTTTTCCCTTCCATTTGCACTTTATTGTCATTTTACACCTGTATTGTACATCTAATTAAATTATCAAGTCTTTGAAGCAAACTTTTATCTCATGTCATATATTACTATATCCACTATCTAAAAACCAAATAGATATAAAATATTATTCATCACATGCTATAAAAAGAATATTTTCTTCATTTTTCTCTTCACTATTATTTTTCTCATGATAATTTGTTTGATTTTTATTCCAACAGTCTTTTTTAAGATGGCCAAACTTTTTATAGTAAAAACAAATAGAAATATTTGAATTTTGAGTCAATTCAATCATAGTAATTTATCTCCTAAAGATTAGATGATAGCATATGCATTATTAAGATCAAATCTATTAGTTTCAAGTGACAA